TTATCCGTATGACTCTGAGTGCTGACGACAATCCAAGACGAGAACCTAAGACTTGCAGGGCAGAATTTTATTAGCTGATCTACTGCCCGGCACCGCCGGATGGCTCAAAGAGACAGATAGGACTGTACGTCCGATCCTGATATCAGTAAAGCTGTCTTAATTGAAGAGTATTGGGCTCAGGTTTCCACATGGCATGGCCAACCTGATAGCAGGAGATGACACAGAGCCCAAATTGAAATCAGAGATCTTTCTTTCAATTCAATAATGGGAGGGATCCTTCAAAGCATCCTGAACCAAGGCACACAGGAGATCCCGGATTGTTTTGAGCTTCAGGGGCTTTCAGGTTGCACATCTGGTTTTCATGAGCTTAAACTCCCGGACCCCGGGCACGCTCACTCCATCGTTTCTCGCGAGGGGCGCACATAGCGAGGTGGCCACGCCCAGATACCGGCAATGTAGTAGCGAGTAACGGGCTCCGGATTCATGCGATCATGTCCTGGCGTCGAAGCTTGTTGCTGTCAAAGCGATAAGTCTTTTATCCCCGATGAGCTGGGACTGGGAGGGTGATTAGATTGGGGATTGGGGTTGTCGTCCTTTCGTCATTAAAGCCGAATAGTGAGGTCTCAGAGAATCAGCCTCGACAGCAGTCAGAACTGTTTTCTAACCTCATGTCTTTGAGTGTGGTCACCGAGCTCTGTTTGGGAGATGCAATGAAGCCGACGAGACACCTATTCTGAAAGTTAGACTGATCCTTCCCCATGCAAGCTTCGAGAGGAGACCCAATGAGGGGAGCATGTGGTTGCAGTTAGCACCACGTACATGTTTTCTAGACAAGGGATTCCAAGAACAGCTAGTGTCCCAGGGCCTTCGACAACTGTCCATTGCAAGCACGGTTCTTGAGTTCGCTGTGTTCACTGGGCGCAACGGGTTGTACGCAGACGATCGGTGCACGATACATGTTCAGTTCGTAGACTCTGGCCGTGAACAGCTGAGATTCGATAGGCAAGCATAGCCATGTCTTGCTAGGCTCCTGCAATGCTTAGACTTGAATGGTTGCATCATACTATATAGTACCGCACATGTCTTCGGAAGGCTTGGACTTTTGAGCTTAACATCTCGCCTACATCCAAACATTTAGCTGCATGTGCTTCGCCATTGAAAAACCCAACTCCGCCTTGCACAGCTTTTCCATAAGCTATTCGGCCGCGTAGACAACCTGGTTGTGCGAGAAAGGTTCGCAACACTTGTCGATTTGGGGCTCATCCGACACACTTTCTCCGCAAATCCGCGAAGCTCATGGCACTCAGCTCCGAATCTCTAAAGCCCAAAGCCCTCGGCCCTAGGCTTTCCATTCCTAAGACAGGTTGCTTGCGCGTTTTCCAAGCCTTGCAAGCACCTCCCGGGATAGCAGATGTTTCTCCGAGCTGGGTCAGATGCTTGGTGCTTCCGGGTCACGTAGGTGGATTTGGTTTCATTTTCAAGGTATGCGGATATGCACATGGGTGCGAAGAAAAGGGCTTTCACAATCGACACTCCAGGAACCCTGGTTGTGAGCGATCCTTACGTTTGTGTGTTTTGTCCGGTACTGTAGCCATTCGGATCAGGTTTGAGTATGTGCAGCCCGGCATAACATCGGCTAATGGCAGCCTCTCGAAGAAGGGTTGAGGTTGCCGATTCACCGTAATTTGTTTGTGTTGTCTGGTTGTTGCTGCAAAGCGCCGTCTAGGAGCGTCTAGCTGTCAGTTCACAGAAGCTCCGATAACTCTCTGTCCTATCGCGGGAACAGAACATCGATCTCGTACTTCATTCTTGGGACCGCACTTAGTCTTAGGAGGGAAAGTGCAGTAGGAAGTTGTGGCTGTGAGAGACTGCTGTGACGTGTTTGATTCGGCATTCACAAACCAAAACTAGGGCCCACTCATCAGGCGAGAATATGCTCCCAAAGCCCCAGGCAGAGTACTGGTCGAATGAAAGAATGCTTAGCCCGAACAAGAAGGCACAGAGCACCAGCTAGCCCAGCTTCGTGTCGCTGCACGGGGAGAAGAGCTAAGGCCCTTGCTTCAGGCTGCTTTCTGTTCCGAAGATTTTCCTTCGTTCAGAACCCTTTCGCCCTGAATTTAAAATCTGCTGGAGGTAGCTTCTTGCGCATTGGGCCCTCCCCACTTCTCCCTTTCTCGGTTTCTCCGCCACCTTGGAGGTTCACTGGTACTCGGCGTCCTCGTTTCAACAAGCCATCAACATTCTTCCGATAATGTTTGTGGCTGTATCTGGAACCACGGATGAATCTCCAAGGAGCCCGCTCGCCGATCTTGAGTGACCGCAAACTCCACCCTCCCCGCAGCTAGTTCGGCTTTCTTTTACAATCTCCGAGCTTGTCCGATGGCCGATTTCGCATGCGCAGAGCTCTAATCTGCAGACCCCTGCCTCAAGTCGTTTATACTTTCAACCTTGGGACCACCTTCGACCCAAAAAGCTCGGAGAATGTATAGGAACAGCAGTAAGAACAAAGCGACAGCAGTAGCAGTAGCAGCAGCAAAAAGTGAGCAGTAGTACTACTAGTACTGGTAGTAGTACTACCAGTTTTACTAGTAATACATGTACTACAGGTATTAGATGTACTCGTAGTACTCGTAGTACTAGCGGTACTAGAAGTATCAGAAGTATTAGAAGTATCAGTAGCATTAGTAGTACTAGTAGTACTAGTAGTACTAGTGGTACTAGTAGTACTAGTAATACTTCATGCACTAGATGTACTGGTAGTACGAGTAGTACCAGGAATACTAGTAGTACTAGTCGTACTAGTAGTGCTAGAAGTTCCAGTCGTAGAAACAGCAAGGAGTAGTAGCACTGGTATTAACACTAAGCATTAATTACTGTAGCACTAGTACTAGCACTTCCTGTGGCAACTGTAGTAACGGTAACGGTAGCAGTAGCAGCATCAGCAAAAGGTAGCAGCACCAGTATTAGCACTAGTACTAGTCCCCACGGCCGTAGCAGTGGCAGTAGCAACAGCAATAGTGGTGGTAGTAGTTGTTGTTGTTGGAGCAGTAGTAGTAGTAGTAGTAGTAGTAGTAGTAGTAGTAGTAGTAGTAGTTGCTACTACTACTACTACTACTACTACTCCTACTCCTACTCCTACTCCTACTCCTACTACTACTACTACTACTACTACTACTACTACTGCTACTACTACTACTACTACTACTACTACTGCCAGCACCACCACTTACCTACTACTACCACTACTACTTCTCATCTCCCTACTACTACTTCTGCTACTACTACTACTACTACTACTACTACTACTACTACCCGCCCTACTGGCAGTAGGAGCAGCAGTAGTAGTAGTAGTAGTAGTAGTAGTAGTAGTAGTAGTAGTAGCGGTCACACTGGCAGCTGCAGGAACACCTGGCGCCCGATTGTGGCATCCAACAAATGCTCATTGTAAGTTCGCACACATGGACCATTTTCGGCCTCCAACTCTCCTGGTGGAACTAGCATTGTCGTGGCGATCCTGGTAGTCCAGGTAGTCCTATTGGTCATGGTCGTCATGGTTGCCGTGGATTTTTTCTCAGTGTTCTGGAACCTACGCTGTCATTATGGCAACGTTGCCAGTTTTGCATGTGAGTCGAAACACCGTAGTATGGTCGACCGTGCTAGGACGAAGCAGTGGGAACGGCTAGTCTTTCTGGGCGTGAAGTGCGAGCACAATCTTGCCCCTTCTCGTAAGGCTCTAGTGCGTACCCTCCGTGCCGTGTCAGTCAAGCAGAGCCAGGGCGTACGACTAGAATGGCATGACATTCTTAGTGGGCTTCTCGGCTTTGCGCCCCCGGCAGCATCTAGATCTGGATTTCTGGATGTGCAGGCAGCCCTTGCACAGATTCGTCACAGAGCTTCCCAATAGGCTCGACAGCCGCGCCGGGGACACATGCCTTGAGAAACCCATTCGCGCAAAACCTGGCAGACTTGTGACTGCGGGGCAAAGAGAGAGCCGAGACACCACCGCTGCATTTGCTCAGACAGCTCACCGGGCGTCAGCTTAGCTACTGGGCGTGCTCTGGAGGTTTCTGGGCTTCAGAGCCGGCGTGAATGCCTTGCCCAGTCAGCCCTTTCCGGCCCAAGAGGCTTCCTGCTGAGGCTGCTCCAACTGGTGAGGTGGGAAGCTCACAGCAAGCTATTGCACTCCCTCATACCAACAACTTGAAATGACCGCATTTTGACTTGCGCGGTAGCGGAAGCATGCTTGAGTGTTATGAGACTAGGGTGAATCATTGTGTTGCCGCAATGCTCTTGCCTTAGTCGGACTTATGTATGTGTGGGAGAAGGGGTGTTAATAGGAGGCATATGCTTCTGTGCTTGTAAGTGTGTGTGCACGTGTGTATGTACATATGTAGCTAGGGAGGTAGGTAGGTAGACAGGCATGTATGTGCACTTACATGTATGTATCTATGTATGTATGTATGTATTCATGTGTCTATGTATGTATCTATGTACCTATAAGCATCTATGTATCCGTATGCAGTATGCATGTATGCGTGTACGTATGAGTGCATGTAGATTGGGTTATATGCACGGTAAGACAGTTGCATACATGCACGCGCTACAGACGAATACCGGCAGTGGCAGCAACAAGAACTATACGAACGTAAAGCAACATTGCTTACAGCAATGCGTGCGGCAACAGCCAGTCCATTAATTACTGTATGACGTTGTCTACGAAAACCGTGAGCAGGCACACGCTGGCTGAACCTACAGCGAGGTGAGTGAGTTTCAGCATCGCGCACAAGAATGTTGCATGCTTAGTGGTTTCGTGGTGTAGATAGTGGCATGGGTAGAAATAGCTATGCCGCTGGTCCGAGCTTCGTGTGACATGAGAAGGTGTTGGCCGCTCTCGCGACTTCTTGCCACCATCATGTAGTGCTGTCCACCGCCGTTAGCTCAAGGCTTGTTTTGAAGATTCAAAACCATTTTCCGGGACATGACTGGGTTACACTAAATCCATGGGCCAGGCCTGGACGTCGACCGAGAGCTGCTGCTCGAAGAGCGAGCAGCCCGAAGTTGAACAGGTAGCAGCATGCCAATCAAATTGTCCCCCCGCGGCTTTGGACACTGATCCTTGTCAAAAAAATTGAATTTTGTCAAGTAGCCACTACGCGACTACTAGTCAAGTAGCCACCATGCCACTATTAGCGGAGGAATAATGTGAAGCTGGTATGACTCGCTCAGCGAAGGCCAGCTATGAACCGGGAATTACTGGTATGACCAGCCCAGGCTCCGAAGTATTTGGCTTCATGTCAACCTCCTCCGACAGCATCGAGATACTCGACCTCACGAAGACAAACGTCAGTGCGGAGCTGTTGCGAGGGATTTCTTTGCAAAAGACTTTACGCAGCTTTGGTCGTCTTTGGCGTCGCAGACCAGCTGATCTGAACTTGAACCAACGAGCGCAGCTTTACCGGCAGTCCGAGCCCGTTGCGAAGCTGGATGTGTTTATCTCGCACGCTTGGCACACGCACGGCAAATGGAAATTCCTTTCCTTGCTTCTCCAGTGCGGCTGGAAACCCACACTTCTCTTCTGGACGTTTGGCACAAGCCTCTCCTTCATTCTCTGCTTATTTGATGTTCTGCCGCAGGTTATGACTGTGCGTGTCACAGCTCTTGAGCAAGCAGAACCTGCAGCTTTCTGGCTCCTGCTGACGGGCTTGCTGTCCTCACTCGTCGGTTTGACTGCATCGCCCTACATTCCGTGGACTTCACATTCAAGGAAATGTTTTGTGGACATCGCCTGCATTCACCAGGCAGATGAACAGCTCATGAAGCAGGGGATTCTCAAGATTGGTGCCTTTTTGGCGGCTTCTTCAGAGCTGCGTGTCCTTTGGAGCGTGCCATATCTCTCGAGATTGTGGCATGGGCCTTCTGTAGAAGCATGTGGAGTGTTGTAGTGTACTGTAGCAGTAGCATCTAGGGCCCTTCTGGCACTCCGCCTGCAACCTAGGTGGTGCATTTTTGAGCTCGCGGCATATCGGAAAGTGAACCCAACAGGCAAGATATCTTTGGCACCAGTGTACATTGAGACTATTGTGCTTCTGCCCCTGGGCTCTGAATCAAATTTTACAAAGTGTGTAGAGTGTAGTCATGGGTACTCATAAGCATTCAACCTTCTTCTGAGGGATTGCAGTTGTGGCGTCCAAGGTCAGGCCTCCACTTGTTCGTGCTATTTCATAGACAAGAAGGAAGGGTAAGCGCGAGATGACCATGAACAGATGAACAGCTTATGAAATGTGTGTGCGTGCGCGCGCGTGTGTGTGTGTGTCTTTGTGGGTGTTTCTGCGTGAGTGTGTTTGCGTGCATTCAGCGAACATGGGATCATCGTAAAGTCATGTCAGCAACTTGGATCCAAGGATGTATCTGTGGATATATGCCGCTTCGACTGCTTGGTGGTTTTCACGGACTACCGAGCGACTCTCGATTCTTTGGTTTGCTGCAATCGTGCTGGCTTTGAGTAGTTCGGGGTTTGCTACCGTACATGTTTTGCGGTGCAACTGCCTATGCAAAAAGCAGCTGCATGGCGCTGTTATGAAATGTGTGTGCGTGCGCGCGCGTGTGTGTGTGTGTCTTTGTGGGTGTTTCTGCGTGAGTGTGTTTGCGTGCATTCAGCGAACATGGGATCATCGTAAAGTCATGTCAGCAACTTGGATCCAAGGATGTATCTGTGGATATATGCCGCTTCGACTGCTTGGTGGTTTTCACGGACTACCGAGCGACTCTCGATTCTTTGGTTTGCTGCAATCGTGCTGGCTTTGAGTAGTTCGGGGTTTGCTACCGTACATGTTTTGCGGTGCAACTGCCTATGCAAAAAGCAGCTGCATGGCGCTGTTGAAGAAAGTGTTTTATGGGCAGGAGCGTGTTACAAGTCCACGTGCAGCGGACGTTTGTGCGTTTCATGACTCTAGTAGGAGATACAGTGATGGTTCTTACGAACTTCAACGACAAGCCAGGTTAATTGCTGACTTGGACAGCTTCGATGTCATGAGGGTGGAGTACCAGAACGAATACGACAAGGCATGCATTCATACGGCCATCGAAAGCTGGTATGGTAGTTTGCAGGCCTTCTCCGCCTACGTCCGGGGTCCACTTCGCCAAGATGTGCTCAAACCCATGCAGACCCCTGGCAGCATATCCTTTGGCTACATATGCTTGCGCACATCGCCTTTGATGACAGTTTGCCTTGAAGGCGTGCTGGCGATGGTTAAGGCTGGAAAATGCTTGGACATTCTGTTAAGTTACATTCTGAGCTACGTGGTCGGCTTTATACTTTTCTTCATGCCGGCTGTATTGGTCCTTCTGATCTTCCTTTGCGAGCGTGGTGCCGGACAAGACCATCGATGTAAGTCCTATCTTCAATCTTTGGGCATTGTTCTTTCTGTGCTACTTGCCGCTCTGGTGGGATCGGCTATGGCTGCTCTGTCCTACAGGCACAGTATTTGGATGTCTTTAGGATGGGTAGGAGTAGCTTTGGCCTTTGCTGGTTGCGTGAGACGCTATTGCTCGCACCGGTAAGGCACAGGTTTTTGAGCAGATCACAGTTTTCAAAAATGCAAGCCGAGATGGCGCGAGCGAGCGCAAAATGATACCTGGGCGATTTGGTTGGCAATGCTGTGGCTCAGAACCATCCCGAGAATCTTGTGCTGGGTTCTGTGGGTTTCCCTGCAGGAGGAGCACGTGCAGTGCATGGAAGCGGCGACATGAGGACGTCAGGGTTGAGTTCATGATTCCCAGTTTGGCCTGCATTGGAAAGCACGGAAATCCAACGTAAACAAACCAGCTGAGCGTCAGACACGATCGGAAGCGGGGCAAGCGAGGCAAAGGTGGCAAGTGCGGCAAGTCGCATTAAATCGAACATCGGTCCAGGAGGGGTCAGGTGGGGCAAGTGGCACAAATCAATTTTCGCACCAGCCTCTCAGAGCATTTTGGGTCGGACGTGGACGGACGCGTGTTCCTCGACGACCCTCCAGCACCCAAGAGATATGGGAAATTTTACAGACACCACAAGCCCGACATCCAAAAGCCATCAAGCATCCGGCGGTCTACATGTGGGGCTTGCAGTTCGGGAGGTTTTGGCGTTTATCGTTTCGCTTTCAGCTTTCAGGGTGTCAGACTGTCGGATGTAGGGTCGTTCGTCGTTCGTCTGGTTGCAGCATCGAGCCATCTTGATGCTGCAGGTACAGTACTCTTTTCATTGTGAGGTTTCTGTTAAATGTCTCATGCTGCTATTATGAAGAAGATTCTGCCTTTCGCTGCAAGACCAGCGACTGCTACAGCTGTTCGTCTGCCGCTTTAGTCCGCCTATGGATTCTTGCTACCAGCTTGGCTATTCCTCTGACGCTGACTGTTTTTCTTTCATTGCTCTACTGTATTGGGTTCGTCTTTGCTGCAGGCGACGCTAAAGGCCATTTCCTCCGCTACTCCAGGGTTCTGGCATCGAACCGGCTTACGTTATGCCAGGCAGTGCAAATCGTCTGTGTCCCAATCCTCGGATACAATGGACATTGACCAGAGAGCACAAGACCTCAAAGCCCCATCCTAGACCCTGAACTGTCTTCGCTGAGTGAGGAGAAGCATTGCCGCCAGCAGGCCAGCACCGGAAAAGGAACGTGCATCGGACAGATCGCTTGCCGATTTCCTGCTCCTCCTACTCCCGCCCCTGCAACTAAACAAACTACTACTGCTACTACCACCACCACCACTACTACTATTACTACTACTGCTACTACTCCTGCTGCAACCACCACTACCAGTACCTATTCATGAATTGTTTTTGGGGCCCTGGAACTGCAAGGCAGGAAGGGAACTCAGAAAAAAGAGAGCAAAGCAGTACAAGCCTGAAACGTAAACCTAGATCTCCCTGCTTGGGCACCTTGTCTTGGCTGCTGCTTACGTTGTTGGGTTATGTTTTTCGTGAACTTTTAAACCGTTCAAAGGCAGCTCAGCTTAGAGTTTCAGGAGCGGGCAGGAGCGGGAGTACAGGATGTCAGCATTGGTCTTCCAAGGTTAAAAGAGTTTAAGATGCATATAGGAGCTTCTCGGAAAGGCAGGGGTGAAAGCCAGTTCATTCAACAAGCGACCCCAACGAAACATAACAACTTCGCAGGCTGGAAACCTGCTGCCTAATCCCAAATCCTACACCTCTAGAGTAGCAGACTCAGTCAGTAGTCTTACAGCAGACCCCAAGCCCTAAACTCCTACCCTGAAGCCCGAAACGTCAGTCAGAGCCCATCCGTGCAGACGCTTCCAAGGCCGTGTGGCTGTCGTTGTCGGGTTTAACTCACGCCTGGGACCCAGCGCGGTTTAGGGTTAAGATTCCTAATAGTAGAGTAGGTAAACTTTAGTTTTTTTGCGAGGTTTCTGTGGCCTTGACAGCTTACGGTTGTTTCGGGCCGCTTCGGGCTCGGGGTAGTTATGATTTTTTGTCCAGGGCTTCTGAGGTCTCCAAAGAGCCTAGTAAAGTAGTTTATACACACAGTTACGGACAAGGGCTTGCGGCAGATGGGTCGGGGTTCAGGGTCGCTGAGGGTTTACAAACCTAACATTAAGGCCCTGAGCCTTAAATAAAGGAGATCCATTAATCGGGGGGCCTTTAGAGCTCGGGTTGGGAGGCTGTCCAGTTCAACTTAGGACTACTCGGAACGTCCTGAGACCATGCAACAGCCCTCCAAGGTTCAGAATTGGCCGTTCTGAATGCTTTTCGGCGCTATAGGCTAGAGCGTTAAAAGGCCGACATAGTTGCCGATGCCGAAGTTTCTGCAGTAATCTGGGCTTGTTCGCCCTACGTTGCGATACACACAGGGCGCCTTGTACTGCTCCCACCTTTCACAGCGGTCAAAAGGGTGCAAGCCATCAGTTGGAGCTCTCTCCAGCAAATGATCCTGCACGTGCCATTGACCTCGAAGCTAGAGTTTGTCATGCTGAAGACGTGTAGTTTCATTTAGTGGAGAACGATTCCCAAAACGCTCTGCCACCGATTGAAGGCTTTGTATGAGTCTGGACCCACACTGCACTTGACAGGAGCTGCAAGACACCACTTTGAAGCACTTCACGCGTGTCAAACCTTCAAGCGCTTTCAGCTGTCTTTCGCACTGTTCGTATTCGGCCTTTTATACTTGCTGTACAATATTTTGTTACACTTTCCAAGAGTGATAGGTTGCTCCATCATTCTCATCATCGCGGGATCCCAAGTTCAACATCATAGACTCCGTGGCCCTCGGGATCTACAGCATCTTACGCTGCATAACACCGTCAACCGGTCACCCCGACCCACCGCGGAGGAAGAGCTGGCAGCCATGGAGGAGTTGCGGCGCGCTGAATGCTGGCGTAAGGGACCCAAGCACTAATCTCACTTCGAGATTCGATTCCGTGTTTTACGGTACGTAAAAGTTTCGTTTTGTTGTGGAGTCTTTGTTTGCTGCTGACATGGTGCTCGGATGCTAGGCTCTAATCAATGGTGGGAGGAAGTGGTTGGAGACGTTGTTCATGGACTGCTTCTGCCTGGCTTGTTGGTGAATCGTGTGTTGCCTGCTTGGTATGTTTCATCGGGTCGGTGATCGGGTGGTCTTCTGTGCGCTGGCGCTTTTGGCGAAGAGGATTGTGCGCCAGACACTTTCAGTTAACCATTCGTCCTCTCATGATCCGGCACGAAAGGCAGCTCAGCTGGCCCCGTGTCGGTAACCACTCCGAATACTGGATTGTGGGAGATGGGTGGGGCTGGACCTCGCGGTTGGCCGTGCAGGAGGGCTCATCCAAAGACCCGGTGATGCTAGTGTGGACCTCTTTCTTGGCAGCGCCCTTTGGGGAAGCAATTCCATGGCCGACCCTCTTGGGAGAGCCCTCTGGTTTGGCTTCCATGGCCCGTCCATGATCGAGAGTGCCGAGGGGCCGGACACACGACCCAGAGCCGGCGAGGAAGAGTGAGACTCACAGCGAGTGAGCTTGGTCTACCCTTCTGGAGTGTTTTGGGCTGCTTTCTTCCGAGCCTGGCGCCGGTCACGGAGGGTGGCGGGGAGGGTGTTATTGTGTCGGGCAGGGTCTGCAGTGATGAGTCGTGAATGCTGCTTTTGGTGACTTGGTCGGTTGTTGGTTGTGGTCCT